AATATGCTGACTCTCTGTAAACCGCTTAGAGAGGCCTGAAAGGCCTATGAAGCGGTATATAAGTCTACTGCTATTGCTATTGCTATTGCTCATCCTGGTGTGAGTCACTAACAGTATAGTAATACTGTAGTATACTGAGGTGATAGTATAATAAAATTATTTGATGAATAGGTAGTTAAAATTCATGATGAATATGATAAAACCAGACTATAGTATATTTCTAAGAGGTGTTTTATGGCAGAAAATTTGCTTGTCCATCTCAATTGCATCTGATCAATGATGACGTGTAATACTTCTTTCTTGGTAAAGATGCTAATTAATCTTCCTCAAAAAACTTAATGACATAATGTTTAGTGCAAGGTGTCAAACTCACGCCACATTGTCGTCATGAACATATCAGGATTCCCCCCCCCCTCCCTTTTGCTAAACTGGGCATGGATGTTGCCAGTGCATGATGCATTGGGCTTGTGGGCTGGGAGTTTGACAGCCTGATTTAGTGGACTTCTTGAATATTGTGGTTGCCTTATTTATCTTTGATTATGTAGTCTACATGTTTATTACTTTTTAACTTATGAGCAGACTACTTGAAAAAACATGACCTCCAAAAAATACAACTCTGTTATTAAGTTTTGAGTGGAGCTTCATTACCTAAATCACATATTGTAAGAATATAAAATACTAATAGAAAATATTGCTGCCTTAAAAAGAAGCAATAGTGATAACTGCTTTTAAAAAAATAAGAGGAGACCCACTGAACTGTACTGACCTTAAGATGGTTTGATTAGGCTTCAGCCTTGCAGCCCATAAGTGGTTGTGGGTCACATTGCAGTTTTTGTTTTTGGCTACAAGGAGGTTCATGTAGTTACCCTGACAGATGACTGTTAGGGAATAGAGAAAGAGTGCATTCCTGCTTTTTTGATTTTGATTAGTGTTTGCTGATTAACCATAATATTCTTCTAACAGCTTGCCAGACAAGACTTGTGGCACCATGTTTAAGTGATTTGGGTCCTTTCCAAATGACTCAATATAAGGAATTGGTGTGGAAAATGGGAGGGATGTCTCTGTTTTGCCTGCTCTTCGGAGAATTCCATTGGTCCCTCATATTTTTAGTCATCGGTGCAAAGACATAGAATATTATTCAATTGCTACTTTAATGGATTTCTTTTTATAGTTCTTTGTTCTTTTTTTTAATGATGGTTTGTATTGTAATATATTAGCAGATTTTTGGGTGTAACCAATTCAGTGTTTTTAGAAAAATAACAAAGATTCTTGCCGATTGTGGAATGATTGTGGTTTTATTTTTTTATTTTTGGTAATAAGCATGTATCCTTTTTATTTTGCTAGGTAACTGAAATCCAAGATTGGAGTGCATCAAGTCCACATAGTGCAGCATATGTTTTATGGGACAATGGAGCTAAAAACCTTTACAGAGTTGGCTTTGAGGGCATGGTAAGAAGTAAAACAATACAAAGAACCGAAGTATTTCATGATGAAGTAATAACAGCCTGTGCTGTGCTATTTTCTTTTGTGTTATCCTTCTGTCAGTTTGCATGCTGTTAGGCGCTTCATTGTTCCTACAGCTATAGGGATAACTAATGCATATGCATAAGTCTGATTTCAGCCTAATTTTTAAGGTGGCTTCTATCTTTGTATCTATAATATGTATTGTTCTAAATAGGTGACATTTCTATAAAATAAAGCTAATATATTTAATAGTAGAGTGCTGTAAAACAGTTCCGTGTTGTAGTTAAATATTTGGATTATTCATAAAACTTTAATTAATGTTAATGCATTATGGTGATTATTATTTTTTGCTTGAATAATTTTGGTTTCAGTGATACTAGGGCTACAGCTAACATTTTATTTTGTTTTATTTCACATGTACATTATTTCTGCAATCATTACATAACGAATATTCTTGTTACTGAGCATTTTTTAGCATTAGTAAAATTATTCATTTCTTGTGAAAATTGGTTTTATTGGAGTTTGTTGTCTTTATACAAATTGATACACTAATCAAGATGCAAAAACCTCCCATTTTCTGTTTGGTAATAAAATAGTGTGATGCAAATGTTGGGAAAAGTGTATTTTGTTCAATATTACAAATTAGTATAAATAAGCCATCATGTTAATCTTGCAACATAAACAGAGCATAATCAGCCAAGGTGCTTTGTTGATTTTAAAATCACTTTTTGAAAAGTTTTACATTTGAAATTCATGGTGTTGCATGTTCAAACATAACTATAGTTAAAAATAGCTTACTAAGTTCCATACATGTACATGATTTCCTCCCATGCTTTGATTTTTTTTTGTTTTTTTTTGTTCTTGTTACCAAATTGCAGGGTGCAAGTGTGCAAATGCAGAGGTTCTGCCTTGTATGGCGTAGTTTTTGGAAGTATCAGTTACTGATTTTTAAGATTGTTGTATTTATATTATTCAAAGGAGAAGGCATTATTCTTTGCATCTTGCATGCCAGTTTACATTTCTGGAACTTTTGTCTCTTGACAAAAAAGAAACAGTTCTTTGTAGTAGCACATGATTGGAGTATACACTACCTGTCCCTTTATTTGCTCCCTGAGTTGCAGTTGATACAAATTAAAACCCAGCTTTCTTCCTGTTTGCTTCCTACTTCAATATATATGCCTTGAACGACCTTTGTTCAGCGCATATTGCTTCAGAGATAGAACCAGATTTGGATTAGGCATGGCAAGAACAATTAGATAAGAGGAAAATTAGAATTTGTTGCTAGGTGTACTAGCTGGAGATACTCTTTAGATTGATTGATTGATTATTTATTTATCTCCCCCTACAAGATGACCTGTATGTACACTGTAAGCTTGCAAGACTGTCTTATTTTGTACATTTTTATTTGACTTTGCAAACGCACATGTTCCCAAATGTTTGAGAAAACTCTGATTCAGCATTATCACTGATTTTATAAGAGATTAATGTGCCTCAGTTAGACAAGGCTTTGTTGAATGTGTATAGAGAAGGAACTTGGTATGATTAAAATGAGAAAGAAATGAAACTTTTGATAATCATAATAGCAATAGCAAGCAATGGCATTTAGATTTATATATCGCTTCCCAGTGTTTTACAACCCTCTCTAAGTGGTTTACAGAATCAGCATATTGCCCCAACAATCCGGGTCCTCATTTTACTGATCTCTCGGAAGGAAGGAAGGAAGGATGAGTCAGCCTTGACCTGGTGACCTGGTGCCAGCAGTTTGGCAGCTGCCAAACTGCTGGCAGCTGCCAATCCGCAGAAGTAGCCTGCAGTACTGCATTCTAACCACTGTGCCAGCACAACTCAAATGGCTATATCCTGAGTTATAATTTCAAGGCTTGAGAATTAATTTAAAATGGTCCTTTTCCAAATAGTTTGTACAGATTTACTACAAAATAAATGGCAGAAATTCCTTTTTTTTGTTTGCCCTGAACTAAAGAACAAATAGGGCAAAGGTTACGCAACAATTACTTACATATTTACTGGTAATAAGCTTCACTTAAAATAATCAGACTTGCATCTGAGGAAACGTACTATGAATTTTCAGTCTCCAGAATTTTAATGGTGAAGTATGGATCCCCACTTAAAACCTTACTAGATAGTATCTACAGTTTAGAACACTCTTAACATCTATAGGAAAGTATCAGTCTGCTATTACTTTATGAATTATTGAAAGCTTTAAAAATACCATTTATCAAGTCAGAATAATTATCTCACTCAATCTTATGATGCATATATTGGTTCAGAGTTAAATCCTCTGTATGGATTTTTATTTCTTCTAGTCAGACCTTAAATGTGTCCAGGATTCAAAAGGAGGATCCTTCTATCGAGATCACTGTCCTGTGCTTGGTAAGATACAGAATCTGAATTCTGATACTCAATGCATAAAGCTAAAGGGATATATGTGTAGGCAATTTAATAGATGATTGATGACATTCATGACAGTGGTTATAAGAAAAATGCCTGCTTACGTAAGGAATCTATAACTCTTAGAGGTAAATGCAATAAGTGAGTGTTGTTTATTGGGATTCACAAATATAGTGATCGCTGGACTCCCTGTCAAGGAATGCAGAAGAGCAAGGCTGCAAGTTAAATGTTTTCTGAAATTATTCATTACTTCTACAGCCAGAACCTAGCATCTGATGAGAATGTGGGTAATCTTACTATGGACTTATTTGGAGCTGCTAAATTCTATTTCTTTAACGTGATTCCAAGCCTGCCGTTTCTACTGATGCTGGTACCTCTTAACAAAAAGTGTCCATTATTATGCCATTATATTGATTTCATTCATACTAAGGAAAAGAGAAGAATCTGATTATCTGCGTCTTTCCCTTCCAGGTCATCAGGCAGAAATAGTTTGTCGTCTTTCACTGTAGAATTCAGAATCCTTTAGAGCAATCATATGCAAAGATAGAACATTATGTGCTGCCCAGAGAACATTTTACTTAATATTTATTGTATTTTTCCAGACTATAATTGCATAAGTTTGTCACATGAAGTGGTAATACTATTCCCTGATTTCACTTTTAGTTATGTAATGCTGCTATGTTTCTACATTACTGAGATTAGACTAATAAAATAGCAATGTACCCTTCTATATGATTATGAATTATGTGTTTGTTTATGGATGAAATTTCCAAAGCATACATTCTCTTTAAATTCTTAACTTTAGGAGAACAGAATGGCAACAGAAATCCTGGTGGTTTACAGATTGGTGATCTAGTAAACATTGATCTTGACTTAGAAATTGTTCAGTCATTGCAACATGGTCATGGAGGATGGACTGATGGAATGTTTGAAACCTTAACAACTACTGGCACAGTTTGTGGAATAGATGAAGATCATGACATTGTTGTACAATATCCAAGTGGGAATAGGTATATTAATTTATTTTTCATAAAGCAAATCATTCTTATTATACAAGTGTTTAATTAGTGTTTTATATTTAATGTTGTGTCATGCAAGATCTCTAAATAAGAATGGAAATGCTAATTCATATTGATGATGTGGCTTTCGGGTAAATGCCTTGGGCTTTATTTTATATTCATTGCCCTGTATAGCAGGGATGTCAAACTGGTGGTCTGCAGGTCGGATGCATCATGTGATGCAATCGAGTTTGACACCTATGTTGTATAGTATTACTAGGAAATATTTCCACCAATTAATAGCAGCTTAAAGTATATTCCATGAGTAATCTGCATTACTTTCGTTATAAACACATCAAAATACTATAACAAATAAGAATGTGACACATTCATCTTTTTTTTTTATACGTTTTATACACAAATTAGATCCTTTAAATTACCCCCTCAAATAGAATTTTCAGGAATATAATAATTAATATAGCCCAGAAATATCTTTAGATTCTCCATTCAGCATTCTATGTCATTTGCCCATTTCTTATGTCTTGCAACAAAATTATAATTATTAATAGCATCTACATTAGTTTTGCTTTATATATATATACAATAAAGATTATTTCTATTTTTTGTAAAATTTTGTACATTTGCTATTTACCTTGACTGGAGAAGTGCCTGTTTAAAATATTTAGTTTAGAACCTCTTTAACAGTATGATAAAGGAAGGTTGGTTCAGGGGTGGGTTCCGGCTGCTGCTACTGCTGGTTCACTCAGGGACGCGCTTTGCACCCGTGCTTGATGCGTGCTATGCATGCATGCACAGTACTAAAAATGCTGTGCATCCACAGAAGCAAAAAACAAGGTGGTGGTGCCTGTGGTGCAGCCGAGAGAACCGGTTCGGGGGCATAGCAGGCCGAGTTACTACCTACTTGGCCGAACCGGTCTGAACCAGTAGGAACCCAGCTCTGGGTTGGTGTTACTCACGAGCACTACTTAACCAACAGTTCAAATTTGAATAGTACATTTTCATCCCTTTCCAAATACTTTTGTAAAGAAAACTACCCAATTCTTTTTCTTTAAGAATATTTGATCTACTTCTGTTTCCTGCTACAGTCTAACAGCACTTTTATAGCTTCAGCCTGAAAATCTGTGCAGTTCCTTACCTAGAGGCATTAGGTACACAAAGATTTTTCAGGGGAAACTGTCAACAACAGTATCCTTAATTCTTTGTACAGTTAATTCTCCTTCCTCTAGTCATAAACAACTCTTTGTTGAGATCATACTACATAGAACAAGGAAACATTTTTCTAGACCCTTAGACAGTTTTTGCTTAGAATACTTAAAAATCTGATTTATGACTACATTCTTAAAAAATAATATATGAGCAGTTTTATTTTTCAAATATCAGACTAAATTAAAAGGCATGCTGATAAACCAAAGGTTTATCCAGCATTGTGTTTTCTATAGTGGCCAAACAGATGCCTATAGGTTGTCTTATGCTATTGAATGATATAATTATTTTGTTATTGTTGGGTTTTTCTTAAAAAAAACAAAAAAACTTTCCCATTTAGCTTTAAAGGATGACCCAGGTTTCCAGTATTGTGAGGAAAAGTATTTTTTCTTTCTTTCTGACTTCCTTCACGATGTATTACAGTAATTTGCTTAATTCCCATATTTCCAATGTTTCATCCAAGGGGAGATCTTTAGTGTCTTGGTCATGGAGTTGGAAGGAGCGGTTTAGACTCTTGATTCCAATCTACTAGTTCATGCAGAAATCCAAATTAATCTACTTCTACCATAGGGCTCTCTTGCTTCTGTTTAAACATACCCAATGAAGAAAAGCTTATCAAAATTGTTCTCATTCTAAAAAAATTGCTTTGGCTTTCTTTTTTGTGAAACTGTGATATTGGCAGTCATACATTTTAAAATCCTTTTTAAAATTATTGTTAGATGAGATGTGCAAAATGTTTTCAATAAGGACACTTTTTTGAATTCAGACAATTGTTTCAGGTTTAAAACAAATCACTCTGAACTCGTAGCAAACTTTACCAGAAATGTTCCAACCTGCAACAGAGTAAGCTTGAAACAGCTCTGGTAAAGTCAAAACAAATTTGTTAAGTTTCTTTTTAAGTTGAAAAAGACTACATTGAATTCTGAGAATACCTCTAATACTTAACATGAATTTATCTTTTTTCACAATTGTCACACATTAAGACAGTGTTTTCCTAGTTATGTTTTACAGTTTAAAATCCCTTTGCTAGTCAGTCATTACAAGCTGATGCTATTTTTGTCTGTATACATTCCATATAAAGTTATGATATTGTTTTTCCCTCTAGTTTATATTGAACTATATTTGTAATTTTAATTTCCATTCTCCAAGTTTTTTTATTCATACACCAATACTTTTTTATTCAGGCCTTTGAAGTAGATTAAGATCAAGAAACAGACATCAGAGGGAATTCAGGAATGCTAGTTTATTGTTACAGGATATAATAACAGAATCTTAAAAGCCTCTCAAATTTTCTTTCAGCTCTATTTTATACCAAACAAAATTAAGGCAGAATTAATCTGAGCTTCTTTCCTACATTTTCTTCTTTCTCAGGACTGAGTTGCTATTTCTCTTCCCTTAATGATTCATTCCTTTACCAAGTGTAGCTCTTCATTCTTTTACACTTTTGCTACTGTTGCTGCTGCTGCTTATTGTTGTTAGCTTGGTATTTATTATTGTCAACTACCTAACTGATAACTGAGATGCAAATTAATATCAGCTCAAGTACAAGCACATTTTGCAACATCAGCTCTATTTCTTACAACCATCAGTCTGTTTATTCTTAGCCTATGCTTTTTTTCTGAAACAGCATTTTGTAAAATGTTTTCTTTTGTCCATGACTATTAAATTTGCATTAATAAAAGCTGTAAAAAGTTTTAGAAAGTTCAAATATCTGTCAGCTTTATCTGTCAGTTCATCCTAACTGCATAGTTAATGGTGCTTTGAAAGATTTGTAAGACCTATCTTTTGAGCACTACCACGATTCTTCTTTAATAAGATTTATTCTACTACCTCCTTGATATTCATTAGAGTATCAGCAGGTCTACTTAGAATAAACCTTAATGTAACTGGCTTGTAAAGTACTGGATTGCCTTTAAATTACTTGATTTTTTTAAAAAAAATCCTTGAATCATTTTCACTTAAACTAATAATTTGTATCCTAAAAGCAATGTTATAAAAACAATAGCACTAGCAATTAGACTTATTTACCGCTTCATAGTGATTTCCAGCCCTCTCTAATAATAATCAAGCATCTTTTGCAAATGGGAGGCAAAACTGAACTATGCGGTTACGCTTTCATAAAACTATAAAACCACTTGCCATAATAATGTTATTTTTACTTTTTAGATGGACCTTTAACCCTGCTGTTCTTACTAAAGCCAATGTTGTCCGAAGTGGAGATGGTGTGCAAGGTGCTGAAGGTGGTGCTTCACAATTTCAAGTGGGTGATCTTGTCCAAGTTTGTTATGACTTAGAAAGAATTAAGTTGCTTCAAAGGGGACATGGTGAATGGGCTGAAGCAATGCTTCCTGTAAGTTTATATAAATATATTTGTTGTTATTAATTTGAAATAAAATGTAGATAAGTTTATTTCAGAACTGAAGTGAAATCTTTCAATGAATGACAGTGAAATTTTAGAAAATTATACAAATTATGTCCACTGGAGATAGGTTTCTCGTTCTGGATAAATCCTATTGATAATCAGGTATAATGAATCAATCAGGAAGAAATGACTTTCTGTTTGGATAGTTTATTCCAGCAGTTACCATTATGACACCGTAAACAATGCCCTGTTCCCTTGAAAATAAGACCTATCCTGAAAATAAGGCCTATCATGTTTTCACACATGCGCCTAATATAAGCCCTACTTCCAAAATAAGCCCTACTTAGGAGTTCGCGCAGCCTGCCGGCCACTCATTCTATCTGGTTGCTCTCAGAGCTACAGTTGTGAGGTGTGGTGGTAGAGCTGCCCCATGCACCCAGCACCGGCTTACCTCAGGGCTCCTGCAGCCAGGCCATTCACGCCTCAACACCTGCCTCATGATGACAGCACTGGCAACCATGTGCAACAGCAGCCCACGTGGCTGATGGCCTACTTTTTCTGCTTGCTCATGGCCACAATGGAGCAGGAGACCAAGTGGTGTGTTGTTGCCATGGCTGTGAGGCAAGGCAGGTATCGGGCATGTCCTAGCTGTGAGGGCCCTGAGGTAAGCCACTGCGGGGTGTGTGGGGCAGCTCCACCATCACTACACCGCCTTGCGGCAGCAGCATTAATATACCACATGGACTCCTGCCTCACTATAAACAAATAGAAAAAGTGGGCCCTCCTGGTGGGGGGAATAAGACACTCTGTAAAATAAGCCCTAGTGTTTATTTTGGGGCCCAAAAGAAAATAAGACTCGGTCCTATTTTCGAGGAAACACAAGTAGTTATGAATTTGGAATGAAGTTTGATGGAAATATTAGGTCTACCTATTTTTTAAGCATTATTGAGTATTGACTAGGAATATTGTTGAATATGAATCACAGGTAGTTCTCAACTTACAACCACTTGTTTAATGACCGTTCGAAGTTTCAATGGCTCTGAAAAAAGTGACTAATGACCGTTTTTCACACTTTCAGTCATTGTAATGTTCCCGAGATCAGGTGATCAAAATTTGGATGTTTGGCAACTGGTTCATGTTTATGATGGTTTGCTGTGTAAGGGTCATGTGATCATCTTTTGCAACCTTCTGACGAACAGAATCAATGGGGAAGCCAGATTCAATTAATAACCATGTTACTAACTTAATAACTGCAATGGTTCACTTAACTCTGGCAAGAAACATTATAAAACGGGGCAAAATTCACTTAACAAATGTCTTGCTTAGCAACATAAATTTGGTGCTTAATTGTGGCCGTAGGTTGAGGACTATATGTATAACATTTATTCTCTCAACTATATCTTCCTTTATCTTCTAGGATTAGACATTTGTACAATGAATTTCTAGTACCTTAAATATGTGAAAATCATCTGGTAGAACAGATTTCCCCAACTTTGTGGACCGGCAGGAGGGGGGCAGAGGAGATGATTCGTGCAAGCAGCCATAAAGTGCACACAGCTCCATTTGCCCAAACGTGCCACACAAATGTAGTGCGCACACAACACTCACCTGTTGCTCACGCAAGTGAGGATATGCATGCTTATGGGCTCTCCAGCTGTTTCCACAGCCCAGTTGCAAAATCCTCACAGGTTGGGGAACTCTGCGATAGAAGATCACTTAGCTAAAATGAGTTGTATTATTTGATTACTGAATTTATTGAAAATAATAAAAATATTTTATTGAAATGATAATAGAAATTAGCTTATTTTTTTACATACCAATGATCTGCAATCATTCATTATTAGGTGAACCTTCACAGAACTTTATTGAAATATAGAATAAGATGCCCATATAAAATGGTGATTTTATAAATAAAATATTATAAATAATATTAGTTTTCTTTAATCTAGACCCTAGGTAAAGTTGGAAGGGTCCAGCAGATCTACTCGGATAGTGACTTAAAAGTAGAGGTTTGTGGAACGTCTTGGACATACAATCCAGCTGCTGTGTCAAAGGTAGCCTCCGCAGGATCAGCTATAAGCAATGCATCTGGTGGTAAGTTACAAGCTAATAAATACTAAAGAAATTAAAATTTTGAAGTCAGCTATGTTTCTTAGTTTTAAATTTTTGTTGCTGTCTTTTAAGAGCAGTTTCATTTAGAATAGTTCTAAAATACACAGTGTGTAGCCTACTCTTGGATATTTTGTTAGATACATGAATTACGATTTTATTTATTTATTTAATCAATTTATGTGACCTCCTGACTCATAAATTGGAGCCTTGGTTAACTAACAGATAATTAAATATGGAATAAAAGGAACCAATGAACATAAAAACCACAAAACCACAGCACAGTACAATGCATTGGAGGCCAATTACAGCATGTTCTCATTCCAAAGCCAGTTACCTCAATGGGCTTTTCTCCTGATCTGCAGAGAAAAAAACAGGCTATTATTACAGACACATTCTTCTTCTGTCCTTTTGGTTCCATCAGTTTTTATTCAACAACTTTATCCCTACTGTACAGTAATTGTTCAAATGATAAAATGTTTTAAGTTTTATTATCCCTATCTTTTGTTTGCTATTTTCATTTTTATTCTTCACCGATTTCTGTAATTTCACTTCCCCCACCCCCTTGGCAATATTATATTAATGGTTTGTCATATAGTTAGCTAGATGTTCAGGCTGGGTTTGACATCTTTATTCATCTATCGAGTCCTTCCATAGGACTGGGATAAGCAAATGTCAATATTTGATAGTGAAAGATAATGTCACAGGATGTAAACTGTTCTGAGTAAAGCTGCCTTTTGCAATTGACTGATGGTGAATTTGTCGATGTTCAAGTGGTGCTCCAGTTGTTCTATTTCTAATTGCAGGTCTTTGTATTTTGTTACCTTCCCTAGTTCTTTCTGTTGTCTCCAGATACTGCCACATCTACTATCAGACTTTTTTGTCTTTCTTATCAATAGTTATTATGTCTGGGGTGTTATGTGTCAGGTCCATGTCTGTTTGAATTCTAAAGTTCCAGAGCAATTTAGCTTCTTCATTTTCTATAACTTTCTCTATTTTATGATCCCAACAGTTCTCGGTTGTCCACAAATGGTATTTCTTGCAAATCTTCCAATGCATCATTGTTGCTACTTTGTCATGCTGTTATTTGTCTGTTAAGCTGTCTTATAGCAGGTAACCAAATGATCCATTGTTTCTTCAGCTTCTTTGCAGAGTTGGCACGCTGTCTTCTCAATTCTGTATGCATTTGTTCTTAAGGCTTGGTCTTGTACAACTAGAATTAGCTCCTCTGTCTCTTTCTTCAATTTTTATGCTCTTAGTCATTGCCAGGTGTTCTTAGTATCTGCTTTGCCTGCTATTTTTTAAAATGAATTGGCCATGTAAAATATTTTGTCTTTCCATGTGTTTTTTCTGTTCTTCATTTAGTCTTTCTTGTAGTTTGGTCTCTAGTACTCATAAGCCTTCCTGGTATAATTTCATTGCATCTTCTTCACTGTCCTTGAGATATTCTTCCAATGCTCTTTTTTCTTCAACAACCTGATGTATTTGCAACATCCCACATTCACCTATTTTGCTTGGTAAATAGAATTTGTCAATATCACTACAAGTATGAAGGGCATGATTTATTGTTATTATTTTTGGGTCTTTCTATCCAGGGCCTATAATTCTGCTTGAGTCCAGTCCACTATTCAGTTGTGTACCTAATGAATGGAATTGCCCAGGTATTAATTGCCTTGATATTATTTCCTTCACTGAGTTTGGACTTTTAAGATCTTCCTCACTCTCTTGATTTATTCACTTTTAACCTTTTCCTGGACTTAGTATTCTTGATGATATCAGCTTGAAGGATTCCCAGGTCTTCATCCAGACTCTTGATGTTATTTCTATAGGGCATTTTGGTTCCTTCAGTTTTCATTACTTTTTGCCATTTTAATGGTGAGCATAGCACATTTGTCAAGTCAAAAATCCATTTCAATATCTTGGATGTATATATGGACACTGTTGAGCACTATTCTATTTATAATGGTTTATTGCATAAGTCACCCAGATGTTCAGACTGGATTTGGCATTTTTGCCGCAAGAGTAAGCTTTTCCAAGTAAAGCTGCTTTTGCAATTGACTGATGGTGAATTTGTCAATAGTGATGGTATTCAAGTGGTGCTCTTAATTGTTTGGGTTAGCACCCAAGGTGTCTATTACTATTGGTACTACCTTTACTTTCTATTGCCCCTATTGCAGTTCTTTTTATTTTGTTATTGTTTCCTGTAACAGGAATAACTTTCTAACCTTCATTATCTAGCAGGTGATAAATAACATTTAAGCTTGCTCTTGGTAGACTCATGAATATCTGCTCCACCATAATGTTTCCATTGTAGGAAATGCTAGTATGCAGTCATGATCTAGGCAAGGAGCAAACTTTAAATAATAGTGAAATATTGATTGTTTGTTACATGTATATTAAATAAAAATACTTTGTTTAAATGCAACACTACGTTCAGATACTATACATTGGTAATATTAATTGTTTCACTTAATATTCACAGAGAGATTGTCCCAGTTGCTGAAAAAATTATTTGAAACTCAAGAATCTGGGGATCTTAATGAGGAGCTGGTTAAAGCAGCTGCTAATGGGGATGTAGCAAAAGTGGAAGATTTGCTTAAAAGACCTGATGTGGATGTGAGTATTTAATTATATCATTCCTAATAAGAGGAATTAAGAGTTTCTGATCAATAATTAAAGGTTTTTGTAAAGATAAAACATTTTGTATCGTGTTTCCCTGAAAATAAGACAGAGTCTTATTTTCTTTTGATCCCTGAAATAGGCACTTGGCCTTATTTTCGGAGAGGTCTTATTATTTTTGAGGTGTGGGAGGCTGTGAGCATAGTCACCTCATGGCTGCTGCTGTGTTGCAATATTTTGGGGGAGGCTTATTTTCAGGAAAGGGCTTATTTTAGCGCATGCACTCAAAAGCCTGATTGGACTTATTATTCGGGGACATCTTATTTTCAGGGAAACAGGGTAATCAAAATAAAGATAGATTGTTCTTTCACAATCTTTCCTGTTGTAAATAGGAAATTAATTATGTTTAAAAATAGGAAGACCTATCCACTTTAACATTTGGTTCATTACTTTTTGAATGCACTGTTTTGTTTCAAATGTTTCAAAGATTAGCCTCCTAAGATGTTTACATTATAAAGTCCTGTAAATAATTATTTTGTTTTGGAGTGATGTAAAGTTTTAAAAAACAAGTAATTAATCCAATCTTCTCGAGTTACCCTCAACATGCTACCCGGATAATTTTTTTCCAATTCAGTTTTTTTAAATTAATATTTTAATACTTCATATGTTCATATCCTGCTGTTTTTCACAATTTATGGCAGTGTGCATAAATCGAAAATATTTTAATAGATCTAAGATATATTTCCTCCATTATTACACTTAGTAAATTAAAGATAATTTGGAAAGACAATTGATCAGATCTCTAAAAGGTATTTTTTACAATGTAAATATGTTGCCTTTTAACTGTTTCTTCTTGACATTATACTGCTATTAATGAGCATGGCTATATTCTTAATGTCTAATTTTAAACTTCTTTGATCTTATTAATATATTTTAGGTGAATGGACAATGCGCTGGACACACTGCTATGCAGGCTGCAAGTCAAAATGGACATGTCGACATTTTGAAATTGCTTCTGAAACAGAATGTGGATGTAGAAGCAGAGGTATCTTAAAGCTTAAATGTTTAACAATACTTAGTAAAATGTATTTATTATATATTATAAAATATAAATATCTATTATATTTTAAAACATTTTAAAACATAAAATTGCCTAATGTTATGGATTATTGTTTGTAAGATAATATTTATTTTATTGCTAGTTATGCAATTATTTTACTAGCTTATTGAATGAGTCCCTTTCATATGATTTAATTTGGTAATAGCCAGTGATTTTTGGGGGGTGGGATGGGGTGGGTTATTTAAGGATTTCAAACTTTTAAAAAGAAAATCATTCCCCCATGTAAAATAAAGTCAGTACAATAAAATACAGGTATACTCATTCAACTAATTAACCAATTAACTATGGTTACTTGAACCAATTTTGCTGAATTGAGATTAATAGATATTTCCCTATAAAGGGGAAGAAACTTGAAATTTACAGATTATATTACTGCTACACCATGGATGGTTCTTTGCACTAGAAATTGAGTTATTGACTAGGCTGAAGGTTAGATCCAGGAAGTATCGGAAGTTATTAATACAGCAGTTCATAAGTAAAGTTCCTCTCTTATAAACAATTGGCTATGACTTGCAACTAATATTTAACATCAAAATAAGTTGCTAGGAGCCATGGTGGTGCGGTGGCTGAGGTGGTGCAGTGGTTAGGGTGCAGTACTGCAACCACTTCAGCTGACTGCTAGTTCTGCAGCTCGGCGGTTCAAATCTCACCAGCTCAGGGTTGACTCAGCCTTCCATCCTTCCGAAGTGGGTAAAATGAGGACCCAGATTGTGGGGGCAATATGCCGACTTTGTAAACTGCTTAGAGAGGGCTGAAAGCCCTATGAAGCGGTATATAAGTCTAACTGCTATTGCTATTGCTAGTTGGATCCTCACCATCTCAAGGTTGACTCAGCCTTCCATCCTTCCAAGGTCGGTAAAATGAGGACCCAGATTGTTGGGGGCAATATGCTGACTCTGTTAACCACTTATAGAGTAAAGCACTTTGAAGCGGTATGCATGTCTAAGTGCTATTGTTTTATATGTTAATTCTGTCTCAATGTGAAGTAGAACTTTACACACACGTCATCTGCTACTGATGCTTTACATCATTGCATCCTTTTATTAACTATATACAACAATTTAGAAGTCTCCCATTAAACTGTAGAACAAAAATATTATGTAGCTGAATTTTAATTATTTAGGACAAAGATGGAGACAGGGCTGTTCATCATGCAGCCTTTGGTGATGAAGGAGCTGTGATAGAAGTTTTACATAGAGGCAGTGCAGATCTCAATGCTCGCAATAAGCGTAGACAGACACCACTTCATATTGCTGTGAATAAAGGTCATCTCCAAGTTGTGAAGACGTTACTGGACTTTGGTTGCCATCCTAGTCTCCAGGTAATTTAATTGCTCTTTAATTTTTATTTATTTGTTATGAACTCAGTTTGAGCATTTTTTCATATGTACATAACTTTGAAATATTAAATAGGGTTAGCCTCCAAGTTATAATTTGGAGTGTAATATCAGAACATGGTAATGTTCAGCTTTCCATCTTTCCTATGAGGATGTATGGAAGTGTTGAATATACTGAAGTGATGGTAGTTTAGATATGATGTAGATGAATAAATTAAGAGCAGTACTTTGGGTTTCTATAAAATCTGAACAATTATTTCTAAATAGAAAAGTACACCATTGTAAACAGGAATTCTTTTGTGGTCCTTTAATTTTGTGAAACTGTTGGCCTGTTTTTGTTTTACCTGCCTTTGCTACCACCCAAATATAGTGATGATTTGATGTAGATGTTTGTCAAGAGGGACAGGAGAAATTAATAAAAGAACAGGGTGTCTAATTAAATATGTTGTTGGCTAAATTCAGCAAAGCTCTTATTATATTCTTATATCAGGATATTTCTTTTTAAATGAACTTTGCTGGGTTTTCTTTTGGATAGATGGGGGAGATTGATTTAGTTAAAATGTCTATTTCTATAGAAATGTATTGTATTATATGTTAATTTGATTTTTTACATTATTTTTTATTGGGATGCTAAAATGGCATTTTTCTTTCTATTCAAAAAGGCAGCATCAAATGAACTTTCTCTGAAATTGCTTTCAAGACATTATCTGTTTTCTTATTGCTTTGATAGATCATATCCATGAATATTTTCTGTAGGTGTTCTATATCTGTTTATGTGCTTGAGGCTAGCTCTACACTTTATGGCCTGAAACAAAAGCCTTTCCCTTTCTATTGGGATTATTTGCCAGAAATATGCTTCATCAGCATTCCATATCAACCTTAGTTTATATAGTCAGTGATAAAAGGTATATTAAATCACTTGTATTTTACAATATTATTATTGAGTAAGCTTAAAATATTTTAGGGCAATTCTTTTCCTGCATCTGTAATATAATATCTCTGTGCTTAAGGGAAACAGAATTATATTGATGTCTTCTATGATATAAGGCATCTTAACATTTACACAGAAGATATTGTTAAGTTGTGCTAATTTAAGATCAATTCGGTTCAAAATTATACAGATGTATTCTGTCCAAACATCAACATTTTTTTTCATATCTAGCTCTTTTTTTCTTGACGTTTGATAGGTTGTTAGACAGGGAGATAAAGAAATTGATACAAATTGACTAATATTTATTTTTAGGATTCTGAGGGTGATACTCCTCTGCATGACGCAATAAGCAAAAAGCGTGATGACATTTTAGCAGTCCTTCTGGAAGCTGGAGCAGATGTCACTATTACAAATAACAATGGATTTAATGCTCTTCATCATGCTGCATTACGGGGAAATCCAAGGTACTGTATAGGTTTATTGCCTTTAATTTTGATAAGCATAATGTTATAGTAAAAATGTTAACATTAATTCAGAAGAATTTAACATTAATTTTTCTGTAGCTTGGTAGTTGACATATTAAAATTATATAATCGTACACTATAGAATTAATGTAGTGGGTATTTGAACAAATGCAGGTTATACTAAATTATCCATATAGTTAATTGTTTTATATGCGGTCAGGTGTTTGTTCTCATGCAACTACAATATGTAAAAGTATCATGACGCAATCTAGACTTACATTTACTTTATTTCGTAAAGATTAAGACTAGATAAAAGAATGTGAACGTGCAAATGTAATGTGAAGCAGCATTGTGACAACAAATACATGTCCGAGTTCTATCCCATCAGCTTTCTTACACAGACTAAGAAGTGAATTTGAGGCATGCTGTTTAAATTGGGCAGAGGGATGGAATAAAAGCTTGTAGAATAACAGGGCATATACATAGGTTACAAACCAAGTATAACAGTATAACATTTTGCTTTTTCTGTTGTGATGTTAAAACTCAGAATCACCCATTGAAACTAATTATGGAGGATGTTTAAGTCCAATAAAACAAAATACTACATTTAGCACCTCCACAGGATCTTTGTCTTTCTGTTTAAATATTGTAGTTGTGCTGTAAGCTATGCCTCATTGGGTACGTGACAGGAATTACAATATAGGAAGAAAAGGAGTGGGGCTTTTATCTGATCTTCTCTCCCTTGTCACCCCCCCTCCCCCATTCACACTACTGACTACTTTATGGAATGAATAATTATCAGAACTGTGAAAAGCCTTTAAAGAAGTGCTTCGTAACATGTGGACATATATACAAAGCCTTTCTTTTCAAATTGCTAAAGTATGCTTGCAAAGCTTGTGCAGCTGCTCTTGACTATTTCCATATGTGTGGTCATACACAAACCACTTGGCTTTGCTTTTGCCTCTTTCGAAGCAGCTGCATGAGCCTTGCAAATGTTATGGCTTCTTTAATGATTTGTGAATAAATGCTTCAAATGGGCTTATGCATATTATGAAGCCTCTCTTTTAAAGGCTTTGTCCAAGCCTTATTGTTAAGCTGTGGAATTTGCTGCTATCAGACATGATGGCTGACTGATTTAAAAATGGTAGGAGAAATTCATTGAAGTTAATTCCATCGGTGCCTACGATTCTTGTTGGCTGTATAGTTCTTTTGGGATTGTAGATAAGATAAAGATGCCTTTGAATTAAGCTTGACTCCTGATGAATTCATATACCATATTTTTCGGACTATAAGATGCTCAGGAGTATAAGAGGCACCTAGCTTTTGGGGAGGAAAACAAGCATCCATCCGGTATTCATTTGGCCCATTTGCCACAGCCCATTCACTGCCATGACCTATTCGCTGCTTGCCATTCACTGCTATGCCTGTTTGCCGCCGCCTATTCGCCACCACTGCCTGTTCCCCGCTAGGGCCAATTCGTCGTTGTGCCCCGTTGTAGAACAGCTGATTGGTGCCACACCAACTCCCCTTCTCCCCTCACTGGAATATTCGCTGTATAAGATGCAGACTTTTCCACCCACATTTTTTTGCATCTTATACTCTGAAAAATAAAGTAGTTGATAACTAAAACAACAAAGCAAAATGGAATTGCCAGCCTCTTTTTCTGGGCTGTTTTTTTGACTCTCTAGACCAACTTATAGCTCTGGTATTTTTTTTTCTTTCTCCTGTCTTCTGAGCATTGATACTTGCTGAAATAGAATCATAGGCTGATATATTAAATGTCATCTGAGAAGCAACAACAGTATAGGATTATCACTGTCCTATCCATGTTTGGTCTAATGCATCTGCTTGGTCACTCTGCACAGTTGAAAAATGAGTGCTGGACTGGACAGGCCACTGGCCCAATTCACTAGCACTCTTGTACCTGTGAAGCACTTTATAACATCATACATTTTCCGATCTCAGCCACAGATTCTCTTTAGATCTACTTTTTTAAAAGCTCAGTTTTCAGACTATGATAATTCAAAACTTGTAATTAAGTTTATAAGCCATAATTTAGGTCATTGCTAGCTGATATGTCAGTGTAACTAAAATTGCCCTTGCCCAAAAGGGAATAGAAGCAAATGTATAAAGAGGGCTATTGGCTGAATTTTTAAAATGATATTCTGTAATCATTAACTACCTGCTCATTTAGAAATTCTATCCATATTTCTCTCTTAATTGGTATACTACCTGATTAAGACAATAGCAATTAATGGTATTCAGAACCAAAGTGAGAAAGGTTTATTGGATTTAGCATGGACGTGTCTGTTGTACTTGTCAGTAGCATATTTTTGGCATGCTTCGAGACCAGGAAAAGACCCAACTTTTAAAATGCCATTGAAAGCTTCAGTGAGATGTTCATGCTAAATTTAAAGCACCTTTTCCATTTTGGATTTGAATACTGTGCACTACCAGAAGAATATGTGCCTGTTTTCAGAAATGGCACTACTTTTTGTAAGTTAATATCACCTTAATAAATTATTAGAAGCCATAGTTAACAATCTGTGATTTGCAATATCTGAAATCTTTGGCATACCATGGGCCAGAGCTTTGGCTAGTGCATTTGGCACTTAACAACATTCACATTAACCATTATAGAATGATTAATGATGTGATGCTAGTAGTCAGAAGCCTGTAGTTCTGTATTTGGATGAAAACATGTCTTCCACAGATATCTCAATTATGAAAGGAAGTAGTAGAATCAAAGGTGTACGTATCTATTTGGCAACACATCTTTTTAGATTGGAGTTAGCGTATTAATTCAAAACTAGCCTTCAGAACTTGTGCTGAAAGCTACAAAGTAATAGATGGGAAAATACATTATCTAATAGTAATTCACTGAAGTCTTGTAATTTAATGGCATTTTTATTCAGATGCCAGCTTAATTTATATTTTTGGACAGACAATGTTAATTTAATGGTGAAAAAACGATGTTGAATACCTTTTTGTCACCCTTTTTGTTGTTGATAGTAATTTAATTCCTTATTTTGTTGCATAATGCAGAAAGGGAAAAATCAGCTTTAAATGTATCTTGAGCTTCTGTAGATGATAAAAACATTGTCTGTGAGATCCCATCTGTATACCATAAGGGAAAAGATCCAAAGTTCAGCCAAAATTCCAAAAATGAACAGTAACAGAACAGCCCCTCCCGAATGATGAATGCATGTTGGTTACTGTTTTTATTATATGTGTCTTTGTTATTGTCTGCATTTCCCCTTCCCTGATTTTCTGTGAGCCGCCCTGAGTCCCCTCAGGGAAAAGGGCGGCCTACAAATGTCAATAAAATCATTAAAAAAAAATATCATAAAATCATAAAACATAAATATAATTCTCTTACCTAATTTCATTCTGCATCTGTTATTTTTAGACAAATTGCATTTAAATCTGAAGATTGCCCCTAAGTTACTATAGCTAATAGGGAACGATAAATTTTCCTCTTTTAAAAACTCTTTCAGTTAGTCATCACTACCTCATACCCATGTTTCTCTGATAATCTGACCGGGTCTTAAATCTCCAGAAGATGCATTAGGGTATTATTTTCAGGGAAATATGGTATTAAATGTGTCTGTCTGGTTGACCATTTTAATGAGCTTATTTTTGGGGTAGGGCTTATATTACGAGCATCCTGAAAAATCATGCTAGGGCTAATTTTCTGGTTGGGTCTTATTTTTTGGGAAATGGTATTTTGCTTTATTAAGTTACTAAAGTATGCTAGATTTTTCAACAGAGTAAGATGGTACTAGACTTTATGGCAGGCACAGCAATAAATATTGACTGTACAAACAACCCCATAAACTCACAAATACAACATTGTAAGATAAACTCTTTTATTGCAAAAAGATAAAAGCCACATGTTGTGAAAATCTATATACTACAGATCTCAGGTTGCCACCTCCTCCTTCTCTCCCTCTTCCTCCATTTAAATTCTAGAGTTTTTCTTTCTGCTTTTTTGCATATAGAGAAATTTGAACATTGTCTTCCTTTACTTGAGATTTTGAAATATCATTCATTGTTTATATAATGGCTTTATCTAACCCGAGAATTTCCAATTCTTGTTATAGCTTCGTCCTGGGCATGGAAATAAATTTCTAGGAAAGCAAACATGCAATCATGAGCCTAGCATTGAAAGATTCAAGAACAAGGTTCAAATACATAAAATGCTTTTATTGAAAAAGGTGCTGCCTTAATAACAAAGATCAACTACTACAGTTTTTATTAATCCAACTATGTTAATATGTCAGGTTCAGGGTTTAAATTTTTTGTCTCTTATTTCCCCTTATGTGATAAATGATGCTTTCCTGCCCATTCTAAGAGTACCTGTAAAGCGTTTGGATACAATCTTATTTTTTTAAACACTTTTGATAATCACTTTTGGTGGTGAATTCTGGAGTGAATGTGGACCACCAATAGCAGACCCGGTCTAAGTCTTCCTTCTGTGTTCCAGGTTATTTCCTCTGTTGATAGCAAAACTGTTCATGCCATACCAGCTGTCTAATTAGTTCCAAAATGCTTAAAGTTCAGGTAGAGGATGATGATCCATCACCAGTTCTGAAATTACATTAGCTTCTGGTCCAGTCAGTTCAGAATACAGAAGAGGTGTCTTCACAGAATAAAATTCCTACAGTACATGTTCGATTTCTAATTCATATCTTTTCTTTTGGAAGCATAGTATCTAGCAATGTAGCTAAGCAAGATCGAACCAACTTATTATTTGGATAGATAATGGCTAAGAAATAGCTGTACTGTAGGCTAAAGTGAGAAGTTGAAATTGGAACAAAGTAATAGCAAACCACTTCAGTATTCTTGCCAAGAAAACCAAATGAATATATCTATAAAACCCTCAGCAATCAAACTTGACTTGGAAAATAAGAAAAAGAACAGTTATGTTAACCTTCCCAGAATAGGTTCTGATGGTCAGTTTTGTATAAGTTTTCTATTTTTAATATTCCTATTATTAC